GGGAATCTGGTTAAAAATCAAGCAGTGCAAGCTGCCATTAAGAAATTAACTCACTATTTATCAAAATTTATCCTATGATGATGCTGTCCTCCTGCATTTCCACGGCCACCAGGATGCTTCCTGTGCTTTCCTAAAAAACAAACCACAAGCAAAGTGTCTAAGGTGTCATATGTAAAATTTGGATTATAAACAGTAACCATCACTCAGTTAAGAGTGCTATAGTTCCCATAGCTAAATTCACTAGGTTTCTTTCCCTAAATTCGAAATACAAAAATACTTTAAGGCCTGTCTAACTTAATCGATATGACAACAGTTCTATAAATTACTGGGTTCGCAAGCCAAAGACGATTTTGAATCAAAGTTACACAAGTACTCATAAATTCTTGGTCTATGGGCGATGACAAGTGTTCCATGAAGTTGCACACTGACTGGAATCGAAATTGAATGTCTCGCCTGTGCAGACATCATACAAAAAAAGGATACATAAATAAATAGGCAATGCATATCAAAGTCACAGAGCTTGATTAAAGTTGAGGTGGTCACAACGAATAGGTGAATAACATTGGACGTGAGCATCATAGCATTTAGATCTATTTGGTAAGTTTCTCCTCCAACTGCCCTGTCCATAATTGGAAAAAATCTTATGATTTGCAGACAAAAAATTCATAACTCGCTGATGTTTTATGGCTTCCATTTACTTTTTTAGATGTTTTCACTCACCAACACGACCATGACCGTGACTCACATGGCCTCGCAGTTTTCGAGTCTTCTTTAGCCTAGCAGTCTAAAACCAAACCAACGAAAACCGGTTAAAATACCCCTTAGTTACACAAAACGGGAACGTTAAGGATGAAATTTAAAAAATGCTTTATTCTGTCCATGATATACTACATAGTTTAGAGAATTAAAGGCGATGAAAGACGATTCCTTTTCATAACTTTATTTCTCAGATACCCACCATCTTGGAAAGGAGAGAGAGAGAAAGAGCATAGTGCGCCTGCGCTTGAAATAGTACTCTCTTATTTTCCCATGGGAGGGGAGAGTTGGTTTATTACACACTTCCGGAGGCTGACACAACCGCTCTTCTAACATCCATGGCTAGCGTTTCCAATGAAATTACCTTTGATTTCAAAACGAAGGCGCACCGATGGTGTAATCAGTACCTAGGAGGAAGTTGGAGAAACATATCCTTAGAAGATTTTTCCATTCAAGTGTTAGGGTAAGAGTTATTTATGCTTTTGTTGTCAATTAAGTCTTTCTAAAGGGAAGTACTTACGCAGATTTGTACGAGTTTGCATGATCAATGAACCATTCATTGTGCGGCCTCTATTTTTATTGAATAAGCCTATACGCAACCAATCGATATGTGCTGGATCACAGGAGAAGTATTGGAGCCATAAGCTGAAGTCCTTGGTGAAACGTTTTATTCCAAGGTCGAAGTCTAATGAGGGTCAAGTTGCACGCTTCGAGCCAGTCTCGTGGGTAAATTTAAAGGAAAATTGTTGCTTTCTTGGTCCTTACTTGAGATCTGTTAGCTGTCTATCATTTCCATGTTTACGGCGAGAAGACTTCTCACAATATGAGTTTGTTTAGGCACGCACGCAGTCATGAATGATTCATTTAGCATTCTTTTGTAATGAAGCGATCGCCGTGAAAATTCTCGAAGACCAACTCACCACTTTAAATTTACTAAGTGTTAATTTAATGATAATAATAATAATAATAATAATAATAATAAATTTATTATTTCTATAGCGAAAAATCCATTAGCTCTATGATCTAATGCGCTTTACAAGTTTAAAAGGAAAACTAACTTTGAAAATATTATTTACAATCAATGATATCATCATCACATTTGATATATAGTACTTAATATAACACTTATATAGTAGATAGAATTGATAAATGTGGCTAACTAACAATGTAATATAATAATAAATCGTCGGATAGATAAAAAATGTAAAATACCAAAAAATATGCTTCCCTAAACGATGTGTCTTTAATTGTTTCTTTAATAAAGTAATACTGCCAATATAATATTCCCAAGACTGGATGGCAATGCATTCCATAAGACTGGAGCAGCAACCGCAAAGGCTCTGTCTCCAGTTTTCTTGGCTGATTTGATTTTGGGCCTTGCAAGAATGTGGTTACCAACAGACCTTAGGTTATAGCTGGACTGTTTAGGAGATAAAAATATATGCAGGTGCTAGACCATGTACAGCTTTAAAGGTAAATAAAGTAACTTTAAAAATTATTCTAAATTTCACAGGCAGCCAATGGAGGTCTACCATGACAGGTGTGATATGCCTGCATGGCAAGTTTGTGAGAAGTCTTGCAGCTGTGTATTGCATGCGTTGTAGTTTATTCTTGTAGATAACCGGTACACCATAGAAGACTAAATTGCAATAATCCAGGTAGCTGATGACTAATGCTTGAACTAATGTCTATGCAGCTTCAAATGATAAAAATTTACGTTACGTCTTATATTATAGATATAATAAAATGCTGACTGGCATGTCTTGTTAATGTGTTTCAAATTGAAACTTAGAGTCAAACTAAACACCGAGATATCTAGCTTCGCTTACAGACGACACGGCAGTATTGGCAACTAAGAGACTATCAGTTTGTACTTTGGAGAGCTGTTGGCGGGTCCCAATTAACATGAACTCAGTCTTGTCCTCGTTAAGCTTGAACTTATCAGCAATCTGATGCACTGCTCCATGGCCCACCTGGCGTCTGTCTCACCAACCTCATTGTCCGGTTTGAATGAGAGGTACAATTGGGTGTCCTCAGCATATGCGTGCGCATGGGGCAAATGAGTCTTCGTTACATCAAAGAGCTTGCTGGCATAAACAGAAAACAGAAGAGGACTGAGGCATGATCCCTGACCGGCACACCAAATGACAGATGGCATCTCTCTGACAGTTTTCCGTCCACAATAACTCACTGGGTCCGACCAGAAAGATAAGAGCCGAACCATTTGGGAGCAACACTGGTGACACCAAATGAGGTCTCTAGATGGTGAAGAAGGATATTATGGTCCACTGTGTCAAATGCTGCACTTAAGTCTAGGAGAACTAACAAAGATACATGTTGGTGGTTCAGTAGAATGTCATTGACAATTTTTAACAGTGCCGTCTCTGTTCTATGTGCTCTTCTATACGCAGATTGTAATTCTGGCAAGAGTCTGTTATCCGTTACATAGGCATAAATCTGGTTGAAAACCGTTCTCTCAGTAATCTTTGAAACAAATTGCAAATTACTCACTGGTCGTAGGTTTTTGTGACCAGAGTCTTTTGCACCTTTTTCAAGTAGGGGGTTATTACAGCTTCCTTCCACTCATCTGGGAAGTGCCCTGTAGACAGGGATGGGTTGACCAGTTTGGTTATTACTGGCAGTAACATGTCAAGTGAATCCTGGATCAGACAAGTTGGCATCGGGTCTAGGGTGCAAGTCTTCTTAGCAGAATTGTTAATCAAGTCACTAACATTATGCTCACTCAGGCTGTTAAAAGAGTGTAGCGTAGTGTCCATAACATTGTCATGAGGTACAAGGTCCTGATCTTGTGGTTGTAGATGGATAGAGTCAATGCCTGTGTGAATGCGCTCTATTTTACGTATGAAATACCTTCCAATATCATTCGCTAAAACAGTTTTATTTACATGCTCAGGGAAGCGTAACTGTTTGCACTCTCCCAGTGCTTATTTGTGGCATGAAACAGCTTTCTCTGATTTGAACTATTCTCCTCGACAAACTGAGGATAGAATTCTTTTCTAGCTTTATTCATGAGATTTGTGGCATGATTTTGTTTCTCTTTGTCATCCGCCAAATCCAAAGCAAGTCTCGTTCTCCTCCATTGTTGAAAATCCAAATGCGTTTACTCTAAAACAAGCCAGGAGTCAATTTTCAAAATTCCTCTTCCAGAAGTGAATTATGCAATAAACTGGATTGTGCATTTATTTTCACGTATTTTTTAATGAGAAAGATTTTTGTAAACGTAACTAAGTACATTAGTGCAGCCAGTGTTGGCTTGTTGTGCCTAGGGTGCTGCAAAGTTCTTCACATCATGGCATGAAATGATATGATTTTTTTTACAGAGGTGGTCTGAGCAATAAATTATACATTTGTTCCCTCCCTGAAAGTTATGGAGTTGGGAAAGAAGAGAAGAGAAAAGTTGTTCTGCGCATCTATGGTCCGCTCTACGATGAACTTGTTACAAGTATTGGCTGCCTGATTGCAGATTCTGTTGTTTTTGCCTTGCTTTCGGAATGGAATGTTGGACCAAAGCTTTTTGCAATATTTCCTGAGGGTAGATTGGAGGAATTACTTCCGGTAAGCGTAACGATTATCTGTAGGGCTATAAATTTGTGTGGCATGGCCATGTTGACCTTGGAACTTGGAACTTGTACTCCCAAATAGCTAGGCTAATGCTGGGAGAGCAATTTGAACACATAGCCAGTTAGTAGACCTGTTCAGCTTTTATGTCTTGTTTAACCATTTTAGGTCTCAAGGGAATTCCCAGCTTTATCTTTTGTAAACTCTAGATAAGGTGTTATCACATGTTCTGAAATTGGTAAAAACAAAACATATGAGCTAAAGAGGTCCATTGTACTATCGGTACATATGTGTTATTGACGAAGTGTGAGGTCAAGATGGCTGGATATTAGCCAAGTTTTTTTTTTTGCATTTACATGGGCCAAGATAAATGAGAAGTCAGTAAAAATCCAAAAAAGAACAAGGCTAATATAGAGCAATCATGGCTGAATGATCTATACCAAATACCATACCGTCACTAAATCAAATATTGTTACTGGACCTGTTTGAAGTAGAGAGATGGGCTAGACAGAACAAAATGTATATGAATATGTGAAAGACAAAAGCTTTGTTGGTAACGGGGAAGCATGTATGGAAGCGCATGGTCCAATATACAGGAAAACTAGAATTAAAAACGGATAACACAGAAATTGAAAAAGTCGTAAACCATAAACTTCTTGGTATGATCACTGAATGTAGTTCTAACTTATGAAGTGCATGTCGATGAACTTTGCAACAAACTTTCAAAGCAACTTGGCCTTTTATGCCATATTAGCTCCTACTTAAAAAAAAACAAAGAATAATCTATTTTAACGCAGTAATAAAACCGCTTATGATGTATGCAATCCCAGTATGGACATCATGCAACAAAGAGGCACTCGAAAGAGTTCTCCATATGCAGAAACAGGTCACATGTATTATTCTTGAAGCACAACACACTAGTCAAACAGTAACATTGTTTAAAAACCTAAGTTGGATCCCCTTTTATAATGAAGCGTATATAAAGCAATGTGTACTGGCTTATAAAAAGATAAAATGGTACTTTACCTGACTATTTAAACGCATCTCTAAGAAAAAACTCTGATGCTTACTCAAGAATCACATCGTGCCCCCTTCACAGAAACATCTCAGAGGGAGGATGTACCTTTGTGGTACGAACTGTAAAGGATTGAAATAATTTGCCTCGATTGCTAAAGACAAAGAAGTCTTTGAAATCCTTTGAGGCCGAATTGTGGAAAATAGTACTAAATTCTGAGAAGACAAAGGGATCGTTTGATATAAATTAATGACAGTAGATAAATGTTTGCATGCTCTTTATTTTAATCGATTTGTCCAGTTATCAAATTCAAGATATATTTTTGTTTCACAATTGTGTAGGAAAATTAAAAATTAAAACTTCGCACTATGAATATTTTTGTTTTTCTTTCTACTGTAAATAGTATCTATTGCTAAATGAAATGTAGTTTTTATTATTTGTATTTGTATTTTTTTAAGGGGGCCATAAGTTCATCAGTAGTGTTAGTTACTGTTACATGTCACCCCATTACATCTCTCTCTCTCTCTCTCTCTCTCTCTCTCTCTCTCTCTCTCTCTATGTTTCTATGGTCAAAATAGTTAACTTTACAATGAAAATATGAAGTTCAGATATTTTGAACAGCGGTATTAAATATGTATGATGCACGATCCTTCGCAGTAGATAGCGCTATTTATGCAATAGCGATGATCAGATCTGAAAAAAATCATGCCCGTACGAGATTCGAACCACTGACCTCTGTGATAGTAGTGCAGCGCTCTACCGATTGAGCTAACAAGCCAACTAGGAGCAGGCAGTTAAGTTGATTTGTAATAAACCCGTGATGATGAATTTGATTTATCATCACGGGTTTATTACGAATCAACTTAACGGCCTGCTCCTAGTACGAGCCCCGGCCGGACCAACACTCAAGGTCTTAAAATAATTGAGAAGAATTTGCTACCTTTCTATTACATCGAGAAATGGTTAGATATTCTAGTCTTCTCGGATAAGGACGAATAAACGGAGGTCCCGTCTCCTGAAGGGTTGGGGTAGGAGATGTTAATTTCCCACACACGAGATTACTGTGTGGTGGATGTCCTCCCCTGGGGTGGGATGGGTAGGAAGATAGCAGGTCCACATCAGCAAATGGCTGCCATAATTCAACCTGCTCAAACAAATAAAGGAGATGAGCCAGGAGAGAAAGCCAACTGTGCTTGTAGCACAATAAACCTATGAAGTTAATTCTGTTTTCTTTGTTTTTACTGTCTTCTGCCACCTTTTGTGACTTCATAGCTGACATTATCTAAAAGTTACAAACTTTGTAAGTCTGCTCTGGAGAGTCTTTTCTTGCACTGGATCAAAGCAGGCAATCCTGATTGGGCATGATGGTCCCATCATCAGGCAAAAGAAAGTCACCAGAGGATTATGTTGTATTCAGATAATTTTTTTTCATTAATATAGGCAAAAAGTCTTACAAGAGAGGATCTGGCAAAACCTGAATTATCTGTGAGAATTGCACAAAAAACGGCAGAGTATCATCAGTTACAGCTACCTCTCCGCAAGGACCCAGATTATTTATGGAACACAATATCTGAGTAAGAAGAGTGCTGTGCCTCAAAATCAGCTGTATTATTTTTAAAGAACATTTATTTTTAGTAGACCCATAACATCATTATGCATATTCTCCATACTGTTCTCTGCACATTTCCTAAGGTGCCAACAAGGAGAATTTTTTTGATTATCAATAAGTTCCTTAGTTTGTAATTATTTCCTTTATTTTCACGACCTTTAGTCAAAGTGTTTCATAGATATAATCTAGGGGGAAATTAATTGCTTGTCACTCTTAGGAGACAAAGAATTCTGGTGTTGTTGTGTAATTATTTCCTAAAAAATTAACTGGAGTTCATTTCCATTTTGGCAGATGGTGTGAAGAAGCCCTGCAAACACATTTTAATGAACAAGATAAAGCTGTGAAGTTGGCCAAACTCAAAAGTGTAGATTTAAAACAAGAATATGAGTTTTTGAGGTAACAAGTTTAATAATAAGTAAAATATTCTTAAGCCCTTGATTTTTATAGAGGAAGGTCAAATAGAGTGAGCAGAACAGAAATACTTGTCAGCTGTTTTGACACTTAAATCTGCAAGCTTGGACAAACTCTATTGGAAAACTGGGAAAAACATCCAATTTTGACCTGGGACTAAAAGAGGTCTCTCAGTGCTCCTGTTCCACTTCGAGATGTAAAAATTGTTCATGCAAAGTTGGATGGGGGAGGGAAAGGCAAAAAAAGTGGGAAATTAATTTATCTAACATTACATAGGTCTTTGTTACCCCCCATCTCTTCAACTTGTATTAAAAAAGCTGAGATGCTTCGCACATGCACTGACCCCAATTACTCTGTCTGCTAATGCTCCAGATCTAGAAGAGTGAAATATTTAAAAGTTATTTCCTAAAGATGGTAGAAAGTTGTGATTCTGTTACTCTAATTTCATTTTGATAATGATTTACTATCTTCCAGACACTATTTAGAGACGGCAACTTCACCAGGACCAGTTACATTTTGTCATAATGATCTCCAACAAGGTAAATATGTTGTTAAAAACCTGCAACGGAAAAAAAAGAAACAACTGGTGAAAGTGAAAGGGAAGCAATCCTTAAGCACGGAGTGAATGGAGCTTGTGAATCCCTTACCATGCCCCCACCCTCCCCTTCCTCCCTCGAATCTACCCCACTATAGACAATCCTGTCTCATTGGTTCATTTTTGATCCAAACCAACCACCAGTTTGTAGCAAGTTACAAAAGTGTTGATATTAATTTTTTACCCTCTTATTCTTCTGATCGTCATGTCTTTTTCTCTTTCACCTCTCTTAGTTCAGAATGTGTTGTGCTTTATATTTTCAGTTCATTTTCATGTGAGTGTTTTACTTTTAGGGAATATTCTGAAAGTCTCCAGAGAATTGCAAGAAAATAATGAGGAAGATTTTGACTTAAAGCTGATAGACTTTGAATTTAGTGCCTACAACTACAGGTAAATATCTCCACATACAATATACAAGCCCTCAAGGAATGATATTCCAGAATTCAGTACAAGTGCTCAATAATCACATTTTAGTTGACATGATGTCCACCTCTTACAACAAACTTCCAGGAATTTTATCCCTATTTCAGATCAACATATCTCAACAACCTTACTTGAACAGCTGTACAGTCCTTTAGTATGTGAACTGCAGCAGTATGTGGCAACTATTCCCCCCACCCCACCCCACAGCTAATATTATCAGTGGTTAACTGCGCATAACTTCTTAACTTTAAAGTCAAGTAGTTTTCTGAGATTTGAATAATTCCTATCAATCTAAGATTTCAAGAGTATTCAGTCTTGTGAGCTAGACCATAAAACTCTTAGTTGTAAAGTCTTGAGAATAGGGTTCTAGCCCAGGTGTAGCCTTACCCTTCCCCTAGGAGAAACGGGGAAGAAGGGTACGGCTACAGATAGATGTATGAGGTTGGGGTCCTTTGACAATGATTTGCTAGATTCCCATTACTTATATGCAAGTAGATTCTGAAAATTGCGGGAATATTTTATAAATTTAACACTCCTAGTGTCAGATGGTTTGTTTTTCTGTTTTATTTCAGGGCTTTTGACTTAGCAAACCATTTTTGTGAGTGGATGTTTGACTACTCTGTTCCTCCTCCGCATTATTTTGCTATGTCCCTCAAAAGTTGGCCCAGCAAAGAACAGCAGGTGAATTGATAAACCTTAATTTGAAGCTGATACCAACTGTGCCTGGGTTGGATATCTTCATGTTTTGTTGGTTCTCTTTGACTTTCTTGATATTTTCAATGGAGGTTTGAGAAGTTTGACTAACGTAACTACCCCAGCATGTGTATTCTCTCAGTTAAATCCCTGCTTTAAGGTCCCTTTTCCCCTTCCCTTCCTCTATTCACAGAGCACCACCCAGGGGCCAGCAAAATAATTTAATTAAATCAGAATATGGAAATTGATTATATTTCAGAGAGATACCTTTACTCCATTGGCAAAGTCTAAGCTTGAATGCCTCTATAACTATAAAGAACACTGATGACCGTTTGTCTCACGTGTGTTTCTCATCAGTCATGATATATTTATTTTGCCTCTTTTCCAACCCCGCCAAAAGTGTCCTGTATGTTTGTAAATTTGGTAAAAAGCTTGTGGTTGTTCATTGAAGTGAAGCACAATAATGATAGAGTCATATTGTTTATCTCACGACTCAGTCATTTCTGATCTTGATCGAGATGTTTTGCCCACATATTGCGAGTCATATTGCGGGTCTTCTCTGTATATTTGGTAAAAAAAAAAATGCATTCTTGAAATTACGGGACTGATAATTTTTGCTGAAGCAAATTAGATTAAGGTTGCACACCAATATGCGTTAGTTCAGAACTTGTCATTGATCAACAGCCTTTTTCCTTTTGTTTCCTTATTTCTGACAGTTGATCTTTATCAGAGCGTACCTTGGAAAAGTTGTAAAGGACAATAATTACACATTAGCTGAATCTACAACTATAGAGGAATCAGAATTGTTAGATCAAGTTAACAGGTATCGCGAATGTACTTCTTGCTAGGAACATGAAACATTTTAAGTGAACTAGAACTTTGTGAGTCAAAGTGATTCTCGTTCATTGCAGATTTGCCTTGGCGTCCCACTTCATGTGGGGTCTGTGGGGAGTTGTTCAACAACGACTGAACTCTGCTGCTAACGGAATCCAATTTAATTATTTGGTAAGTTTATTTTTTATTTAGGATTAAAATTTCTGTTGCCACCTCGTTGGAATCCAGTTTTATTCATATTTCCTTTTTTTTATTTTTGCTTTTGGGTGAGCTCCCAGTTGGGTTAAGGATCAAAAGGAAAAAACAATTATTATAGCAAATCTGTCAATTTAAAGTAAAGCGAGAAAAGCCAGGCTAACGCATCACTGAGCTACGATCTCGGTTTACCAGCTTTAGACAGAGAATGAATCCCCTGTAACGATATGAACCTCAAAGCTTGAGATTTAAATACTTTTGTTTTGTTCTCTCCAAGGATTATGGCTTGGCACGGTTTGAAGCATATCATCATCGAAAGAAAGAGTTAGGCCTCATTTAAAGAACAAAATTATTTGACTTATAGATACAGAAGTGATAATTTAAGCACTAATTTACTTGACTGTTGAAAAGCAGGTTATTTGAATACTGTAAGGAAATTATAATTGCTAACATCAAAATTTTCTATAAGATCTGCAGAATTTGTCGATTTGTGACTTTTTCCTCGTTCCCTTTGTTTATAGATAGTACAAAACACACACACACTCACACTTATAAACTCAAACCTATAAATACTTTTCTTGAAATTATGTTAATGTAAATAATTAAAACTGATTAAGGCAAGTTCAAAGATATCATCAAAATAACAAATTAATATATCAATTGTATTACTATTTCTACCTCATGAAAGGAAAACGAGTAACATTTTACTAGTCAACAAAACATGGTCTTGAAAAGTATCAAGATTTTACACTGTTAAAGCTTGTCCCGGTGATAACTTTCTAATGATTAAATTTGGATGCTTTGTCAAATTTTGGCGTCAATTTTTTAGGGTTGGATCGTGTTATGTATGTAACTGGTTCAATGTAACAGGAATTAAACTGAGCATAGTTAGTTAGTAGTCCCCTCTACTAACTATGAACTGAGGTTGTTTCAAAAGAATATCATAGTAACGGGGAGGAGGGAGGGCGGAGGAGAAATGGAGAAATATTCTAGTGACGGGGGGGAGGGGAGGGCGGAGGAGAAATGGAGAAATATGATAGTGACGGGGGGAGGGGAAGGCGGAGGAGAAATGGAGAAATTTTAAGGTCGGAAGAGTAATGAAGAGTGAGTTTATGATTATAGCACAGTAAATGACACTGAAATAATAAACATGTAAAAAATTTGTGGGTGCGGTTGTTTTTTCGGTTTTCGTTTTCGCTGGAAAGGACCTAGCATGATCCGCCCAAAAACAAAGTGATAGCTTTTCCCTATAGCAAAAAAAGATAAAAGGTAATATTGTTTATTCGAGTTTCGGGTTACTACATCAAGGGTCACACATGATAAAGCTTAGGGGCAACATGCCTTGCGCATCAACTGGAAAAGCAGTTTAAAAACATGCAATTCTTGTTCTTATTGAGTGTACGGCTCCACGGTCAAGACCAGGATAACCAGCCTATCTAAAAGTGCCCTTAATTCCTAACTGCTTCTGAGCGTGTATCAACCTGTTTTTGTTTGTTCGTTTGTTTGCTTTTTATTCTGTTCTTGACTTGCTGTCAATTCTCTTGCTAATTTTGGGAAAACTGTTACGTGCTCTTCATGGAGCACTGACGTGCAGCCGATGTTATTCCATCTCCTAACGGGAGAGGAGAAATTTTGAGCTCTTTTTTTTTTTTTTTCCTTCAATATTTATCACTTTCCCTTTTAAAGCCAGCCGTAATCAAGCTAAAGTTGTGCTCTCATCAGGCTGTTAACCTTCTACAAACAAGTCCTAACAAACTGCTAAAGATTACAAAGACAAAACTTGTTCAACTTCAATGGCATTTATTTCGTCTGAGGGGTATCGGAAAGCTTCCTAAGCCAGAAGACACATCAAAGTTTTTTTGTCGAGCTTTCCATTTGCAAAACAATCTAACTTGTTGATTGAGGACAGTGAAAGGCATCTGTTTAACAATTTGTTACGATTCGTTTACGGAGATCCATGAGTTGGCAGCCTTCTCCTCGTTAGAGACAGAAGGGATCTACGTAAACGGATATTTTCTTGAACAATGTTTACAGTGAATCACGTGCTTAGTTTGCAGATTCCAATATTAAAAACTTTCAGTTCCTTGCCTCCCAAACGAAACTTTCTTAGCCTCCATCCATGTTAGACTAAGTGATTAGCGAAGAAAATAATTTGCATTCCACCGGTTCAAATTGTATGATCATGTTGTTAACTAACTTTTCTACCGAAAACGAGGTGAAACCTGATAAACTAGTAGAGCATTCTGCTTTCACGTTAAACTTCGAATTATTTACAATTTTTCCGACAAAAGACAAGTTTCAAAGTTCATCCGCCGGCCGGCATCCAACCCGCCGCTTCGCATGACTTCCTTTCACTTCGCATGATTTCCTTTCACTTCGCATGACTTCCTTTCACTTCGCATGACTACCAGTTGACCTTTTTCGTGTGCGTGTTCATGTTGTTGAGTTCGCTACAGACTGTTCAGCGCATGATTAAACAAATCGATCTTTGAATGCCTCACAAATCCAAAACTAAACATGCAATCCAAATTGTTTCTTTTCACCGTGTCAACTAGAACTTCAACTTCATCAGGAATCTTTCTCGCCGTTAAATGCAGGAAATGTTGTGTACAAAGAGGACCCCGTCATTCGCAAAGTTCGTTATTTTGGTTGTTACCTTCCCGGGCTACCTACTGGCATACGGCTATCTATGGCAACTGATGCGTCATTCCGACAGACTGTTTCGTTGGCTTGATCTCTTTGTGTCAGACGTACTTTGTTTTTTTTTTCTGTACGTAAAGGACATTATGAGTCAAAGTCTAGTGAGAGAAAGACCAATCACAAACAGTGAAAGCCAAAGAACACCCTCAAATCACGTGGACTGACCAAGAAAGACAATTTGCTGCTCCTTTAACCGTAGCGTGTTTATAAGGTATTAAATATTTCAGACTTTCTTTCTCTCATTCTCGTCTCCGACACTGAATTGCGTAATAAAGCAAGCTTCCCGGCTTATCGGTTTTTGGCGGGTATTTAGTTCGGTATTGTTAGTCATAACTAGTGAAAGTGAAAACTGACATCAAAATGTCCAACTTAACTGCTGAAGAGCTTGAGAATGCATTGAAACTACTGCGAGGAAACATTGACCAACTGTTTCTGATTGTCATGGGAATCCTTGTCTTTCGTGAGTATAATCTTCACTTGTTATTAAGTTCGTGTTCTTATTTGCATATCATGGCTCTTAGAAAATTTTTAACAGGTTAAGTGTTTTCCTTCTGAGATATGTGTTATGTTTGAATAGTTCTAAGATTTGCAAGTTTGTCACATGCAGAGTTGCAACTCTCTATGCGAAGGCCGGCTTTTTCTGCGAAAAAGGTGCTACAAAAACAAAAAAAGAACAATATTTGACATTGGTCAGAAAGGGTTTTCTATAGTTAGGATATTAGAATGCCGGTGGAATAAGTGCTAAATCAAAGCCAAGTTGCAAGGGACCGCTGGGACATTTTGCAGCCATCCAATTATAATGATAATATTCATACAAATGCTCTACTTTGACAAAGTCATGTCGGTAAGTAATATTGCCTGAACAGTCCTTTTAATGCTGTGCCGTGACCTTGTCACTTGCCCTCGGTTGTTTTTATTTTTCCTCTCACGTAGTTATGAATAATTATTTACTTTGATTGTTTAAATGTATGTAAATAGGAAAACCTCATCGCAGAGAACATCGAAATTTTTGAAACAGTTTCAAAGTAGGAATGTTTTTTTAGAATCAGTTTTTATTAATCAGTCCGCGACCCATCATGAGATATTCCGTGCGAAAATGTCCTTAATAATTAGCAAGCATTTTTTAGACTGGTGTTTCACATTGTCCCTTATGATTCTACGGTTGTTGCTTAATGACTCCATACAAAAATGGAATTGCGTTCCAAACCAGGTCTTCTGGGCCATTTTGCGCGAAGAGGACAGCTCAGTGAACCGCTAAGATGTAGGTAAACTGTTCTTTTTGCAACGTAACGAACTGAAGAAGAGCCCTAAGCCGGCACTACGAGGGATCCATGGCTTTTTTTAAATCTATATTTTGCATGTAAACTGCACATTAAATACTGCCTTAAATTTCTACTTACATTGTCATTGTTAATTGATCTGTCATATAAACCTAAAGCGCTTTTAACACCAATTTTTTGTTTCTAATTCAAATCAATCAAATATTTTGACTCATAGTTCCACATTTCAGTCATCAAAATTAATTTTTGTTCACCCAATATTGTATATGCTAGTTTTCATTTCATAAAAAGTCGCACTAAAATTTCAATAAATATTTGGAAACCATCGCCTTAAATCTCGGCCCTAATATAACTGGTTTCTAATCGAACGATGTCAGTGTCATTTAAGTGCATCCCACGAATAACTCGAATGTTTTTCGGCTCTCTATTTATAGTTACTTTCAGACAGATTGGTGAATGTGCCTTCTTTCAAGAATTTTCTATCAGTTCTATGAGACGAAGAGCCATTAATGAAGGACTGAAACCATTGCTGAAGCTGTGTCGAAATCAAGTGAATTTTAAGAAGACAAAGGCAAAATAATACATATATCATATGCGAACAGTTCATACAGGATATTAGTGGCAGTTCTAATTATAATGTAAACGACGAGGACACCTAGCTACAATTGAGCACTTTTTATATTGTTTTACTTGAGTTTTGACGCATTGCTCTCCACAAACACCGATAGATATTGTTATTGATAGAACGGCCATAGCAAAGGCAAAACATGTCAAGTCACGATTATCTCAACAGTGCAATCTTACTATGTTTTGCCAAAGTCGTCAGGAAGTGGATTAGGGGCAACCAATATTTTCAGCATAGCGATCAATTTGTTTTCTATTTATCGCTGTCATTGCCGTTCAAGGCTTGTCTTCTGTTTTTTTTGTTTTTTTGTTTTTTCACGCTGGACTGCGCACAGACAAATTAAGAACAAATAAAAAGGTGACGTTACTCTTCTCTCTAGTCACTCCTGCCTCCTCGCGACTCGTTTTTTTCAGTCGAGATAAGGCTGTGATTTCGAAATAAGATTATCATTGCAACTTTAGGATTGAAACTTGACTGCATCAAATCTCGCTTTTGACAACCCAGCCTAGGCGATAAGATGTTTCTGAAACGGCCCAAAAATGCGCCATTGAGATAGTTTGGATTTAGCCAGTCGATTACTCCAATTCCTTCTGTTTTTCTATTGACTAGCTCTTGTACCGAAACACGTAAAAAAAAAAAAAAAATGAAACAAATTGGCCTCTTTCGTAAAAAACTACATTTGGATTCTGACTCCATTTTCCTTGCAGTTATGCAGGCAGGATTTGCTTTTCTTGAAGTCGGTGCAGTGAGAGCAAAGAACACAACAAACATCCTACTCAAGAATTTCTTGGACGCGTGTGAGTACGAATGGTCAATCATGTGCTGATAAATCCTTCTTCCAATTTCGTTTTTAGTCCGTTAATACACTTAAGTATCAGGTTGCTTAGCAACAATATGCCATCGAGGATTCAAGACTCATCTTTGCCTTAAATGTGGTATTTGGTGTCAGTCAAGTTATGGCCGCTGTTAATTTTCTATCCCATTTTGATTGTTACAGTTATCGGTGCTGTGGCTTACTGGTTGTTCGGCTACGCCTTTGGGTTTGGAGAAAAAGGCAATGGCTTTATTGGATACAGCTATTTCGCACTGGCAGATTTACCAGCTGAAAAATTCTCCCACTGGTTTTTTCACTACGTTTTTGCAGCCTCGACAGCAACAATTGTCAGTGGTTCCCTAGCAGAGAGAACTGAGTTTAAGGCTTATCTGATGTACTCTGTGTTTCTGACTGGTAAGTTCTATTCTTACTAAATCCTGAGATGTAAAGTCAGTCCCTTGAAAAACTTAGTTGTTATTGCTAATTAACACCTAAAATATTGTCTAAGAATATTTCAGTTCATGTGGTTGACCTGTCTCTATGTTCACTTGTGTATACCAATTCCCTCATCTATTCACGTGTACTCAACAATGAAGTACTCGCTCTTTTTTAGGTTTTTTGTACCCAGTAGTGAGTCACTGGGCATGGGATGTCAATGGTTGGCTGTTCATTGGTGCGGAGTACACTAAAGACAATGTAACGATGACTGTTACATACCAGGTAATATCACTGTTATATACCAGTTATTTTGACCGTTATATACCTGATATTATGACTGTTATGAACCAGGTAATATAACTGTTATATACCAAGTAATATGACTGCTATATACCAGGTAATTTGACTGTTAAATACCAGGTAATATGACTGTTACATACCATGCAATATGACGCTGTTCGTGGTTCACCTAATCCCTTCGTACTTTACTTTGTAGTAAAATGTTTTACATTTCTGAGGGAACTACTGTCTTTGATTGTGATGCCATGTTGAACAGAATTTTCCTGTTGTAAGGCGCCCGCAATCTTCGCGGAAGTCCATTTAGACTCTTTTTTCAACGTCAAAGACTCCCCTGAGTGGCTGAAAGTTTTGCTTCATTTTGTAAGCCAGTGTTCCCAGATGGAAAGGGTCACCTGTGAGATACGTGTACAAAATCTACATATTTATCTGTGCAGTAAATGGCTTGAACCCGGGGGTAACATGTGAAGGTGTAGTCTGATCGTCCGGGTGAGTGTAGTCCTGAGAAGGACTGTTGTCGGTGGTAGTGACTGACGTTTCGACAACCTGTGCGGAAGTCATCATCAGAGTCATTCACTTGACTCTGATGATGACTGTCTCCTTCTCAGGACTACACTCACCCGGACGATCAGACTACACCTTCATATTTATCTGTATATGTATCTGCGACTCATACACTACATCTCATTGCAAATCATGTCATTGATAGTTTTTTTTTTTTTTAATTTTTTTAATGATTAGGACTTTGCCGGAAGTGGAGCTGTTCACGTTGTTAGTGGGATGGTTGCCTTGGTCGGAGCAGCCGTGGTTGGACCAAGAATCGGAAGATTTGTGAATGGCGTCCCTATGCCACTAAAAGGCCATACTGTTCCCGTGAGTGACGATAAAAACCTGATATTATTTACCGTTATCTAACCTGGAAAATGCAGGTAGAGACTGGCATCTCCATTTTACAGGGAACTGAAAGATTTTACAAATCATATTTTTTCCACTTCTAGAAAGCTGCTCTTGGAGGATTCATCTTGTTCTTTGGTTTCCTGGCATTTAATGGCGGCTCTAATGCAGCGATTGCTGGTGAAGGTGCCGCCAACGCTGTCTCACTGGTAATTGTCAACACTGTCATTGGAGGTGATTGTCAATAACTTGACTTTTAAAATTTGTTTTCTTTACCAATTCTTTAGTGCTTGGCGATATGTATTAAATAAACTGATCATGTTATCCTCCATTTTTCTTAAGGAGCTGCAGGTGCGCTGACTTCCTTGATCATCAAACGTCTGGGCTTTGCAGAAAAACACTGGAGTCTGCTATTCACCATGAACGGTGGATTTACCGGAATGGTGAGAAAAGTTACTTTCGATCACGATGAGTCATGTTTTTGGCTTGAAAAGCGGCCAACATCATCACGAGTCCTGTGATCATGCGTATTGGATTTCAGCTCTAGTTAGGGTAATTTCTCAGTGTATTTTCACACAACCCCCCCCTCACAATTCCCCACAATCCCCCTAATCATCCCCACAATCCCCTACAATCCCCCACACAATCCCCTCAATTTGCAAATACAGATCTCACATGCCCATAGTTATAATGTTTAGTTTTACACAACAGGTTTCCCAGTGTTCAGGCTGTAATACCTTTCATCCTTACGCTGCTTTTGTCATTGGCATCATCGGAGGAATCACATACGTTGCTTGGAGTACTGCCATGCTGCATTTTCAGGTTGATGATCCATTGGATGCCGTGGCTGGTAAGAAAAACGAATTGAACTTTATCAAACTATGAGAGAATCAAGCCACAAGTTCGAGTTATCAGTTGTCACGGAATGAATGAATGAATGAATGAATGAATGAATGAATAAATGAATGAATGAATGAATGAATGAATGAAAACATTATCAGCGTGTCAATGTTTCTAGCTGCAGATTAACCAATTGTTGGAATTATCGGTGACGTCCACCTCTCGTATTGCCAGAATATTTTGGCGGAGAACGAATAGATGCCTTGTGGGAAGTTCGTTCTAAGAAGATTCGCAGAACAGGGTTGTTTGGTTCCAGTTTTGAGGATGTATTTCGATTACATGTTGTAAAACCCAAACCAAAGTACTCACGCCTTTGCTTTTAGTTTTGACCTGGACCGGTCGAGAAGAGAAACCTGACTTTCCAGACAAATTACAGCGCTGGGATCTCTTAATGACTCCTATTCTTGATTTAAAGAGAAAAAAAAAACTCATCAATAGCTTTCTTTATTCTACAGTTCATCTTGGCGGTGGTATTTGGGGAGTACTAGCAGCTCCCATTTTTAACATGGACACTGGAATATTTTATGCCGCGAACGAGCATTCATTCCGTTTGTTTGGTTGGAACCTGTTGGGTTTAGTTGTCATAATGGCCTGGTGCGTAGGTCTGGCTTTCATGTTTTTCTTTCTTTTAAGACTCCTTGGGCAGCTTCGTGTCAGTGAAGAAGTCGAGATAAAAGGTGGGTAACGTTAGGTAACAGATTATGTCCCGTTGTCTTTACCCATACAGATCTCAATTCGAAATTGTGTTAGCCTTTACCCTCTCGTGAATTAGTGTCACTTGTCTGTTGCATTCTCTCGACCCAGCTCTAATAACGAAAAATTGCGGTTAGTTTTCGTCTGAACCGTGGTATTTTTCCTGTCCGAAGGTCTCACAAGGTCTCAGTGTTTTCTCCTAGCGTGTACGCATTCTCACACAGATCAATACTCCGGCACCTTTTTTAACTACATGCCCATCCTATGTGAGGATTACTGATCCTAGGAACCTCTGAAAAGAAAAGTTATATATGGATGTTTACATACCTCTTGCATTTTTATAGATCTGATAAACTCGTCTCAATTTATAAAAGTCAGAAGAGCAAAGGTGGGGTTTGGGTCTGCAACCAACTTTTACTAAAGTAATATCAGATCCGGATAGAATGGAACTTATAGAGTCTACATCGCAGCTGTTCCTTACGATGTCGTGCATCTTACCCCCAAAAGAATGCGTTTCATCAAAAAGAACAATTTCGAAAGATTCTATAATTAATCGACTGATACTTGTTTTTTGATAGGACTTGACATTCCTAAACACGGTGAGCCCGCATACCCAGTGGAAAGTTACGGGAACGGTTGGGAACCATCTTCAGAAGAAGGAAAGACCTCCTTCCCGTTTTATCAGACCTCCATCAATGCTTTTGTTTACGTCAACCCTACTAAAAATGGTCAAATTAAACAGCCTGGAATGCAGCATGGTCAACCAGGACAAGTCGTATACCAGAATGGGCAGCCCGTCAATCATTCCAACGTTCATCTCGACCTGCCAGACAGAGATGCCTCTCCAGAAAATCCCAGTCACAAATCAAACGTAGAGGAAGACGGACACACTTACGAAAACATGGATACAGCATTTTAGATGTTACCAATGGAGCAAATAGATTAAAGGCTTGTGCGGCTTTAACTTCAAGTTGATTTTCGCAAACTTACAATTGAAAAAGCGAATTAAAGGATTGGCCAGTAATTATTTAAGGGAAAGTAATCATGAGTATCTAGCTAGGCACCAATTAAAAAAGAAATTCCCAGATTTCGTTACTGTATTTACCGGAGTGATACCAAAAGGGATGCTTCAGAAATCAGGTGATTTTCATCGCTGCATTTTAAAGAAAAGGTGGAAAAACGAAAACAGACTGACAAACAAAAACAAGCCTGTACGGGACTCGAACCACTGACTTCTGCGATACTAGTGCAGCGCTCTACCAACTGAGCTAACAAGCCAACTAGGAGCGGGCCGTTAAGTTGATTCGTAATAAACCCGTGAAAGTGATAAATCAGATACAATGAAATATATGAAGTGCATCATGGGTATCTAATACCGCAGTTCAAAATATATGAACTTCATATGTTTCATTGTAACTGATTTATCACTTTCACGGGTTTATTACGAATCAACTTAACAGCCTGCTCTCAGTTGGCTTGTTAGCTCAATTGGTAGAGCGCTGCACTAGTATCGCAGAGGTCAGTGGTTCGAGTCCCGTACAGGCCTGATTTTTTTTTGTTTTTGTTTTTTTTCAGGTCTGATTTTCGCTATTGCTTAAATAGCGCTATCTACTGCGAGGATCGTGCATCATACGTATCTAATACCGCAGTTCAAAATATATGAACTTCATATATTTCATTGTATCTTACTGATTCTTGGAATATTTCCGTCATCGACTGTTTCGGTTTCGGAGACTAGCTAAGGGCTGAGTTGATTTTAAAAAATTAGATAGCAAGAGGTTTCCTTTAATACCTAAGAGAATGAATGAATAACACCTTTATTTAAAAATAAATAGAAATCCCAACATCAGGGTAGTCTCATCAGAACGTAAAGCTCTGCTATCAATAGGAGCCCTGGTGAATAGGATCCAAAAATAAATATAATAGAATAAAAAATCTATACAATACAATATTGCAGAAAATTCTAATTAACGTGACTATTATAAACAACACATCCATGATAAAAAAAAA